AGTAGTAGTAGTAGTAGTAGTAGTAGTAGTAGCAGTAGGAGTAGTAGTAGTAGTAGTAGTAGTAGTAGTAGGTAGTAGTAGCAGTAGCAGGAGCAGGAGCAGGAGCAGGAGCAGGAGCAGGAGCAGGAGCACTAGCAGTAGCAGTTGCAGTTGCAGTAGGAGTAGGAGTAGGAGTAGGAGTAGGAGTAGGAGGAGTAGGAGTTGGAGTAGGAGTTGGAGTTGGAGTTGGAGTTGGAGTTGGAGTTGGAGTTGGAGTTGGAGTTGGAGTTGGAGTTGGAGTTGGAGTAGTAGTAGTAGTAGTAGTAGTAGTAGTAGTAGTAGTAGTAGTAGTATTGCATTGCCCTCGTCTCGCAAAGCTCCTGCGTTCGACGATGAGGGACAGACATATGTCCGGCGGTTCGAAGACCGCGCCGCACTGTTGGCGACCCCCACAGCTAAGAGAACATGGAAAAGATGTCCTTCAATCCATCGCTTCTAAATCAATTACATCAGCTATTTCAGCTTGGAACGGCCTCCTGGTTGCAGCCTGCGGCGCTACATTCGACCCAGGCTGCAAAGCAATCTGACGACGATTGCAGCTTTTCTTGTGCTGCTGCCCGCTAGTGACCCGACACTCCGAACAGCAATGAGTGTGAGTGTAGGCCACTAGCCTGTCACAGCTGGTCGTGAGGCACACCGAAATACAGCTTCTCAAGCTACGGCGAAAACGTCTATTGCATCGTCTGCTGTGCGAACCATAACGACACCCAGAGCAGCAGTAAGGACGATTGCCATCGACTTCGCGTGTGCAGCCATCTGTGGCGCAGGGGGGCATGACCTGAGCAAGTAAGCCCATCTTTCTCAGCAGTGCAGTTTCGATGCTATGGTGGCTACAGTGGAACTTTTCCGGCCCTTGGCCAATTGCCAGTTTAGCAACCTGACAGCACATCCACGCCGTATGGGCTGATGCACTACCTGATTACAGAGGCACAGACGAGACCTACCAATAGAAGCTCAACCACTTTTGCAGTGTGCTGAGAGCTGCAATCGCTGACTGCTTAGTTTCTCAAAACGCAGGGAAGGCAATCCTGCATTATGGAGGGCTGTACAATGGGCTGCGCCGGATCAGGGAGAACGAAGCCCATCTCCTCAAGCTGTAAATGCATGGGCCGTCCCAGTTTTTCCCACCGTTGTGCCGTGTAGGCAACTAAAGTGACCCTGTCAAAATGCTGCCATGCGCATGTGTGATGTAGCAAACGATGTGCTGGGAACCTCACAGCTCGAAGCAGAGTCAGGAAACGATCTCCACGAACCATATGGCCCTGATGCTTCAGATATTCGCGCCCCTGTGCATGTGCTATCCCAATTTCGCCACCCTCATGCAAGGACAAGCTAATCACCAAATTTGGCGATAGGCCATTACAGCGATCAATGTGTGGCTGTGTGGCGTAATTGAAAAGCACTGCAAGCGTCGTCCAGCGGTGGTGAGGACAAAGATGCACCACCAGACAGTTCAACAGGCGAGCTGTGTTGGGATGTGCCATGGTAGACCGACATAGCCCATGATGGGGCCCACAAGAGAAGGCCCCCACTGTAAATGACGCTGCATTGCCCTGCATAGCCATATGCTTATGTCTTGGTGTCTCGCGGCACAGTAGCCCAGCCACTTGTCTCGCTGCTGACCAAACTGGACAGACACCCTCGGCCAGCAAGCTACGCGCGAGCACTTCCGCGGCACTAGCCTTGTCAATGCACTCTCGTGAAGGCACTGGGAGGAAGGGATGCGCTCGGCCCGCGGGGCGACTCCAGCTGCTCCGTAGCCCACAGCACTAGGTCATTTATGGAATACATGCCTATGCAGGGATCCGGTGATGCACCATGAAGCTCAATGAAGAGATTGCAGGCACAGTTCAACAGCAGGTAAGCTTCCAGGATGTCATCGTGTACATCCCCCGGAACATCCAAAATTTCAACCTCTACGCCTGACTGAGCCATGCTTATGTAGAGGCATCATGTGAAGCACCCGGAGCTGGCGAGCAGGCTGAGGGCCGTGCTGTCGTATGGGCACGGACAACGAGGCTTTCTGCTGAAGCTAGCCAAAACTACAGAAAACGATACAACAGATACATGGCAATGTGTTTAGCGAAGTCTGTACAGGATTGCGGACATCTGCAGCGAAAACCATTGGCAACGGAATTTTGAAATGCGTCGTATCTCTTCGGAGTGACACCAGCGAAGATTGGGCAGCCAGGGCCTAGAAACGGCTGCCGGGAGGCCCGGCTGCATGCTATGATCGGAGAAGACCGACCAGGTAGGAGTTGCGTTCTATCAGCTTGAGGTCTCGGGAACTGGCAGGTCTGGGGGCTTTCTTATCATTGCAGATCATGTATTGCCACGTGACTGGATCCTGGGTGAGGTCCGGGTAACTAAGAGCAGCCTGATAATGCCCACAAAGTATGGTAGGTCCCTGGTGATAGATAACGAATCCTACTCGGTAGTCTTGGGAAGCGACCTCTATGCTCGCTGTTGGAGCATTGAAGTGCGGCAGGCTCACTCGTAAGCCTGGCGGGATAGCGATGGGTTTCATGTCTTTGGCCCCATCCTCCTGAAACCTGCTAAGCTGGAAACAGACAGCACCACTGCAAGTAGCAATGCCGTACACCGAAGCCTGATTGCGCCAGTTGCTTATGAGACCCTGGAGGGTATGTCCAGTCAGGTGCAGGGTGATGGGACAATCCAAGGAACCATTATCAACTATCCTAAAGGGGGAATCGGTGCGCGCTTGCCACTGGCCTGCAAAGGCATCCAGTCGCCAGGAGGCGACCAGGTGCTGCCAAAACTCGCCTACGTCATGCTGTCGGGAGAGCTCCGGCCAGGTACGAAACACAGAATGCAGTGCAAGGCAGTCGGTTAAGAGTACGGTATGTGCAGCATGCAATATCTGTGCGCTGGCCTGAGCTGAGCCCTGCAAAGACTCCGGGGAGTCAGCAAGCTCTCGCAGCCATGACCAAGCCTGCAATGCAGAGTTGGCATAGCACAGATTCATACCCGTTGGGTTGGCCAACCGGGCCTGAGGCAGGCGTAAAGCCGGTCGAAGCCGCAGCCGCGCCGCCCTAGGCGCGACTTCGTCGGGCGTCGGCCGCCCTAGGCCGAGCCCTGGGAACGATTGTTCCTCCTCGGCTTCCATTCGCAGAAGTCCTGACTCATATAGGCTTGCTCCAGGAGTTTGCTCATGTTGGAGCGTGCACCTCTCTCCGGCTTGATCCTCATTCCCAGCAGCTTGCAGCACGCGCAACCTGCCAGACGCTGCATGATCTGGTGAAGTTCGTCGGCTTCTTTTGATCGTAGGCTGATCGTCACCATGAATGGGACGACTTCCCCCGTCATGTTCTCTGTGAGCTCCTGGGTGCTTCGAAAGCGAAGCAGTGCGCCTTCTCTTTGGTGAGGCTCCGCAAGGCCACGTCGAGGTGCTTGAGAACTGTAGTCAGCGATAGTGATGGCGTCTCTGCCTCCACCTGCTGCTTGTTCTTGGTGTCCCAGGCGTGGTAGACGAAGGCTGGGTCGAGGGCGGTCTTGCCTTCTTTGATCCAGCCTGCCTCCATGCAACGACCGATCTTGTTCTCGTCGGTCTGGAGTTCCTCCACCGCCGTCTTGAGTTTGCTCAGGATGCCCATGAAGAGGGTTGTCTTCAGAGCCATTGTTACAGTGCCTGCTATGAACAGCTCTTGCCACCGGTCCACGGCGTCCCGAACTGCTGCCAGGCAAGAGTGGGGCGAAGTATCGACGAAGATCACAAAACTTGTGTCTGTCCTCCACATTTGGAGATCCGCTTCGTGCCTCAACACTGCTTTGGTGAGCGTCGTCGGCAGCTGGTTCACCTGAGACCCTTGTGAGGCCTGGCCCCAACCTTGGTCCCGTGCGGCTCCCCAGTTGCGCTTCTTGCTCCGCCAGTTGTCCCAGCCATCCTGTGAGGAGCCTTTGCCCTCCGGCTTCGGCCACTTGGGTGGCCTTGCTTCCTCCGCGTCGGCCTCCTTGTCGGTCTTCTCGCTCTCCTTGTCGGGCTTGAAGACCAGATCGATCTCCTGCTGGGCGAGGGTGGCTCGGGCATCCACCTCCATCTGTTCCGCCATGATCAGCAGCGGGCTCCTGCGATAACTTGAGTGCTGCGAGTGATGCTTGGAAGAGTGGCGTGCAACTATGCAAGTGCTTGCGAGGGTCCTTCACGGGCTTAAGGCAGTACCGGCAGGGGTTGCACGGATCAAGGCCCAGACTGCTGATGCGAGCGATAGCAGCGGGTGCAAAGTTCCACTCTTGCTGATGCATCAGTCGCATATGTTGCTTGCATCCAGGCCCAATCAGTGACACCCACTGGCCGCAGAAAACACAGCTGGTGCGCAATCTCTGACAGAAGTCTGCATTTTGCACTGCTTGCTTCCAGCCTTTACGCAGTGTGTCCTGAAAGCTTGGCTCGGAAAAGAGTGGCGGATCTGGCTCACTAGCTGGGGCGGTCTGGAGAGCTGAAGACCTAATCAGCTCTCCCTGCCCAGAAGCTACCTGGACTTCTGGGTCAGTGACCACCCCTGGTGCTGTGCTGACAGGCGGATTCGTTGGGGGTGTGATTTGTAAGGCAGGGCAACCTCTACGAATGTGCTTCTTCAACCCCTCCACACGAGTGAACTTAGACCCGCAGAAACGACAGGCTGGCATTCCATCAACTGTGTACTTCCTATATTCACTGGCTGCGAGAACGCCTGACACTCCCGATTTATCTGCGTCAGTCTGCCGCAGGTGCTTCAGATGCGCCCGCGTGCGGTGTGATCTCATGTGCCGATGACTGGTAAAGTACTGGCCACAAATGTCGCAAGGCACGCCTATGCAGGGAGTGTCATGCTCCGACGGCATGAGGCACTGACTTTGCGGAACGGCAGCGAAGCTGGCATGATGACCACTAAACCAAACCCTAGCCTCAAGGTCCCTACTAACCGAAGCTCTTCGCTGCAGCGTGCTCGTCAGTGCCTCCAGCGGAGAGGTGACGCGCAGTCGCTTCCGTAGTGAGACATTGCTTTCCCTAGTGAGATGCACTGGGGATCGGGTTATGCTACGTAGGGCTCTGGCATCATACCCCTCCCACCGCCTAAGAACCTCTATGGAATACCCCATGGCCCATGGCATGCAAGCCACACATCAGAGTGGATCTCACACAGGCCACATACAGGCGAACCCGATATTGGATAGAAAGTCGCTGGCTGTGCAGGATGCGGACTAAGCGTTGCCGATTGTGCATTGCGGCCTTCAGCCTGTGCTCGTAGGTCTGAACTTCGAACCGACCGTAGGAAGCAACCACTCCAAGATAAACCAGACTAGGAACCCTCGGGATCAGCAGATGTGAACCGGGCACGCCTAGGCTGAGGGCTTGCTTGCCATCAAGCAGGCACGCGTGGCGTCGCTGCCAACGTCTTGCTGCACTTCCTCTTAGCCCAACCACTAGACTAGATTTGGCAGGGTTCACTTTCATTCCCGTTTCCTGGAACAGCGCAAACAGAGTTCTGATGGTTCTAAGAACGAAATTCAAATCTTGCAGTGTTTCAACTTCAAATGCGGCATGACTGTCGTCTGCGAAAAGCGTTGCGAGGCGACTGGCCCACGAGCCGGACGTCCGAGCTGCAAGCATGTCGAAGAACCAGCAACTGTATAGCGTATATAACAGGGGGCCCTTGCCTTACTCCTTTGCCCATAGGGAAGGATTGCTTGTGGGGGCCGTGGGAGACTACATAATTACAAGACTCATGTAGCGCGATGACTGCTGCACGGAGGTTTTCGGGAATGCCTGCCGCCTGCGTGGAGCTGTCTAAGGATGCCCGTGGGAGTTCATCAAAGGCCCTGGAAAGGTCAACACGTATCATTATTCCTCCATGACAGGTGCTCTCGGTCCTGCCTGCGCGCCGGTCATGCACGCTCAGGGTCCCTCTCTCGAGTCTTTCCCTCACAAACTTACAATGCCGAGCCACTCGACTTATGGCTTCGTCAATAGCTTTACCGGGACAGAAAGCGTATTGGGGTCGGGCAGCTATGTAATCCGTAATGTCAGGGAGTATACGGGACCTGAGTACGACTGCCAGCGTCTTCGAACCTGGATCTTGCAATCCGAGCGGGCGTAGATCCTGTGGCCGGCGCCCTGCTCGTCCCGGTTTCGGGAGGAGCGACAGCTCACAGCATGTGGCGTCTGCTGGGTAGCGGTTATGGTCGAGATTGCAGCGATTAAAGATGCGGGTACAAACCTGGGCCATTGAGGTCGGGTCCAACAACCACACATCAGCTGGCAAACTGGTGGTAGGTACCGCTTTTCCACGCTTGAGCTGTTGAATGGCAGTGTGCACCTCATCTACCGTAAATGACAGCGGTTCAACGACCTGCGACATCCTGTGGGGCCCGGCACTCGAAAAGGCATCCCGAAAATAGCAGTAGATCTCCTCTAATTCTTGCTTAACAGTCAGAAGATGACCCTGAACCGAATGTATCCGAACCTTTTCCCTGCGCCTCTTAGGAGCAATGCTATTCACGACCCTGTACACGGCTCCCAGGTCGTTCTTAGAGGCAGCTGCTTCAGCCTCCTGCAGCTGGACCTCCAGCCAGTGGTGTCGTTTCTTTCCGAAGTTCCCTACTAGCCTGTTTCAGGGCGTGATAACCACTCCAAGCACCGGCTGATTGACCAAAGGTGGTGCCTGCCGGGGCCTCTCGGATCTGACTCAGTCTCCAAACTTTGTCAGCAGCCACGGTGACTGGGTCAGCAGGGGTACGAGTGGGGTGGTTTCGGGACTTATTCGGGAAAAGTCGAAGACAATGCTTGTAAATGTTCTTGTTCAGATCCTGCAAACTGCACTCAGGGTTGGCGGAGACGTACTTACGCAGCTCCAGCTGTAGCTCCTGTGCTTCTGCGGTAACTTCCTGTACACCCTGCTTCAGGGCTCGGAGCGAAAACCGCTGAGGGGTGAGGGTCTTAGGGGCAACTTTCCAACCCGGAACCCAAGGAAGGCTAGCTTGCACCGCGTGATGTTTGGGACCCAGCCTCCAAGGCGCTAGGTCCAACGCTATGGGAACTGCCGTGCGTGAGGTGGCGTCCGCATGACGTCGACGCGTCACCAAGAAGTCGATTTGCGAGCGATGGCCATTGTTAGTAAAAGTGCAGCACTTACTCGGCGCTGCCGACTTCCAAGTGTTCAGCAGCACAAGTTGTCGCTCTTTCACCAATTCCACCAGCTCGTCGTCCATCGGCTTCGTGGTACGCATGACTCCCCGGCCGATGTGTCCTGGCACTGGCTGACAGTGGGTGTTAAGATCGGCTCCTAGCCGCAACAGGTTCCTCGTCGGCAGGCCTTGCAGTAAGGCACCCATCTTTGACCAAAACAAATGCCGCTTCTGTTGAACCTGCTCCGAGTTCCGCTCCTGCTGGACAAACTGATATCCCGTGACAATGTCCAAGCTGACCTTAGTCGAGGTGCAGCGGACATGGAGTAGCCGGCCCGGCATCCACGTCACGCTGGATATCTGCTCCTCGCTGAATCTGTCAAGCCTGATGAATACAGCGAGTCCGCAGTAGCGGTTTTTGCTGTCTGCAGTCACGATCACCTGCCAGTTTGGTAGTTTCCATCTTCCGTCTTCACGTCCAAGGCCCCAGTGGGTTTCTTGAACCAGCACTACGTCTGCTCGACATCTGGTCTGTAGCCAGTTTTTAAATAGATCATAGCATTCTTGTGTCATGCCGCCAATGTTGTAGCTGATCGCCTGCAAACGCCGCTGGCGAATTTGCCCGGGAGGTGGCTTCAGCGGTAGCACCCTTTCAGCTGATGTCTTTGCCTTAAAAGTAGTGCCCAGTGACGCCGCGCTGCGCCACTGGCCTCTGTACCAGGTTCCCCCGTTGGTTTCCGCCCTGCGCTTGGCTCTGCGACAAGCTCGTTTCCGACTGCTACTCCATGTAATCTCGGCAGTCCTCTCTCCAGTATGTTTTCCCCCCGAAGAGGTTGCCAGGAACGTGGTGGAGCGGTCGCTAACCCTCGGGTTTGCTCGTGTCTCCATGGTCCGACACGAGCCAGGGGAGTTGGGACCCCTGCAGCTGGAGCTCAATGTCAAGTGAGCTGTGCTCCATCAAACAGTTCAAAAGGTAGGTCAGCAAAAAGCAACGATACGCCATGAGCGAACGTGGGACCAAGCCTACCTCAGACTCACTTCCAGCCGAAACCCTTAGTAGTAGTAGTAGTAGTAG